TCCTATGGACATTCAAAAAAAACAAAACAAAGCAAAACAACAAAAAATATAGAAATGTTTCGTCTTTCATTCTGAAAGACTTCCTCAGTCTGAGGTGCTGTGTAGGGTGATATGGGCTGGATATGTATATTGTAAATTATCAGTTATGAGTTAAGCTCATAAGATATGCATTTATTATGCAAATAACCTCGTTGTGTGGGCACCACCTCTCTTTTAGAGGAAAAATCAGTCTCTAACCCCAAATTAAATGTAAACTGAAACGTGAGTTCTTTCTCATGTTTAAAGGGCATCAAATCAGTTAATACACACAGATATGCCAAAAATAATCACAAATTCAGTTGATTTTATGCATTTTATTATAAAAATAATAATCTGTGATATATGTGATGATAAATTATGCATAACAAACAAATGAATAACAAATAGCTTTGTATCAAAGGTCTAATTGATTATTCAAATTAGTGAAACTTAAAAAGGCAGATTTTGGATTTTGGTTCTATTTGTGAAGTAGTTAAAATTGTGTCTAAAGTGAGCTGTAGTTTGTCTGATAAGATTATTGTGATGTATGATCACCAGAAAGGCATTAAAATTAGAAAACCGGATTCCAAAAAAGTTGGGACACTAAACAAATTGTGAATAAAAACTGAATGCAATGATGTGGAGGTGCCAACATCTAATATTTTATTCAGAATAGAACACAAATCACAGATCAAAAGTTTAAACTGAGAGAATGTATCATTTTAAGGGATAAATCTGTTGTATCTAAATTTCATGGTGTCAACAAATCCCCAAAAAGTTGGGATAAGTCCATTTTTACCACTGTGCGGCATCCCCCCTTCTTCTTACAACACTCAACAGATGTCTGGGGACAGAGGAGACCAGTTTCTCAAGTTTAGAAATAGGAATGCTCTCCCATTCATGTCTAATACAGGCCTCTAACTGTTCAATCGTCTTGGGCCTTCTTTGTCGCACCTTCCTCTTTATGATGCGCCAAATGTTCTCTATAGGTGAAAGATCTGGACTGCAGGCTGGCCATTTCAGTACCCAGATCCTTCTCCTACGTAGCCATGATGTTGTGATTGCTGCAGAATGTGGTCTGGCATTATCATGTTGAAAAATGCAGGGTCTTCCCTGAAAGAGATGACGTCTAGATGGGAGCATATGTTGTTCTAGAACCTGAACATAGTTCTCTGCATTAATGGTTCCTTTCCACACATGCAAGCTGCCCGTGCCACAAGCGTTCATGTAACCCCATACCATCAGTGATGCAGGCTTCTGAACGGAGCGTTCAGAACTAACAACTTGGGCTATCCTTGTCCTCTCTGGTCCGGATGACATGGCGTCCCAGTGTTCCATAAAGAACTTCAAATCGTGACTCATCTGACCACAGAACAGTCTTCCATTTTGCCACACTCCATTTTAAATGACCCCTGGCCCAGTGCAAATGTCTGAGCTTGTGGAGCTTGCTTAGAAATGGCTTCCTCTTTGCACTGTAGAGTTTCAGCTGGCAACAGCGGATGGCACGGTGGATTGTGTTCACTGACGATGCTTTCTGGAAGTATTCCTGAGCCCAGTCTGTTATTTCCTTGACAGTGGCATTCCTGTTTGAGGTGCAGTGACGTTTAAGGGCCCGGAGATCACGAGCATCCAGTAGAGTTTTATGGCCTTGACCCTTACGCACAGCGGTTGTTCCAGATTCTCTGAATCTTTTGATGATGTTATGTACGGTTGATGATGATAACTTAAAAGTCTTTGCTATTTTACGCTTGGTAACACCATTCTGGTATTGTTGCACTATATTTCTGCGCAACATTAGTGGAATTGGTGATCCTCTTACCATCTTGGCTTCTTCTGAGAGACACTGACATTCTGAGAAGCTCTTTTTATACCCAATCATGTTGTCTATTGACCTAATTAGTGTTAATTGGTCTTCCAGCTGTTCGTTATATGCTCTTTTTTTTTCCAGCCACTTATTGCAGGCATCTAGAAACCAGGAGAGAAAATGGCGCTCTACTAATGTTGAAGAATTTTATTTAACTTGGAAAGATAGTCTGCTAACATATAAAAAAGCTCTCCGTAACGCTAGAACTTTATATTACTCATCTTTAATAGAGGAGAATAAAAATAACCCTAGGTTTCTGTTTAGTACTATTGCTAGACTAATTAAAAGTCCCATTTCTGTTGAACCATGTATCCCTACAACTATAAGTAGTGATGATTTCACGAGATTATTTATAAATAAAATTATTTCAATTAGAGAGAAAATTCAAACCATCCTTCCTTCTACTATCTCTAGTCCCCTGTCAAATGAGGCAACTTTAAAAATTTCAATAGAGCCTGATTTATGTTTGGACAGTGTTTTTGTCCTGTTGAGCTCTTTGAATTGTCAAAAATAATAACCTCATCCAAACCATCCACATGCCTGCTAGATCCCATCCCAACCAGACTGTTTAAAGAGGTATTTCCCCTAATTAATGTCCACATTTTGGATCTACTTAATTTGTCTTTAATGGATGGTTATGTACCACAGAGCTTTAAGGTTGCTGTAATTAAACCTTTACTTAAAAAGTCTGATCTTGATTCAGAAATTCTGGCCAACTACAGACCCATGTCTAATCTAACTTTCATCTAAAAAATTCTAGAGAAAATAGTTGCAGGTCAGTTGCGTGAACATCTACAAAGAAATATTCTGTTTAAGAGTTTCAGTCAGGGTTTAGAGCTCATCATAGCACAGAAACAGCACTAGTAAAAGTCACTAATGATTTTCTCATGGCCTCAGACGATGGACTTGTGTCTCTACTGGTCCTGTTAGACCTCAGTGCTGCATTTGATGCAGTTGATCACAATATTTTACTACAGAGGCTTGAATATGATATTGGGATAACAGGAACAGCTCTAAAGTGGTTTAAATCATATCTATCTGATAGATTCCAGTTTGTAAATGTAAATAATATATCTTCTTCATACACCAAAGTTAGTCATGGAGTTCCTCAGGGCTCAGTGCTTGGGCCAATACTCTTTACTTTATATATGCTTCCAATAGGTAAAGTTATTAAACAGCATGTGATAAATTTCCATTGTTATGCTGATGACACACAATTATATTTGTCCATTAAACCCAATGAATCATATCAGTTACTTAGACTACAAGCATGTCTTAAAGACATAAAAACCTGGATGACTATTAATTTTCTCTTTTTGAACACAGACAAGACTGAGGTTTTGGTATTTGGACCTGAGCACCATAGGAATTAATTTTTCAGTCTTTCTCCCTCCTTAGATGGCATTAATCTGTCCTCCTGCTCTAATGTTAAAAATCTTGGTGTTATTTTTGATCAGGACATGTCTTTTATCCCCCACATTAAAAACATTACTAGAACTGCTTCTTCCACCTGCATAATGTCACTAAAATTAGAAACATCTTATCTAAAAATGGTGCAGAAAAACTGGTCCATGCATTTGTCACGTCTAGACTGGACTATTGCAATGGTTTATTATCTGGATGTCCAAATACTTCTTTAAAATGTCTTCAGTTGATCCAAAATGCTGCTGGAGTCTTAACTGGAGTTAGTAGGAGAAATCATATTTCTCCAGTTTTAGTTTCTCTCCAGTGGCTCCCTGTCAAATCCAGAATAGATTTCAAAATCTTACTTCTAACCTACAAAGCTCTCAACAACCTAGCTCCATCTTATATTACAGAACCTATTGTTCCATATTTTCCTAACAGAGCACTTCGCTCTCAGACTGCAGGTTTACTTGTGGTTCCTAGAGTTTCCAAAAACAGAATTGGAGGCAGATCTTTCAGTTATCAGGCTCCTCTCTTGTGGAACCAACTTCCACTCTCTGTCCGTGAGGCTGACACATTATCCAGTTTAAAAACTAGGCTTAAGACTTTCCTTTTTGATAAATCCTATAGTTATGGTCGGCTTGGGTTTCCCGAGCTGTCCCTTAGTTGTGCTGCTATAGGCTTAGACTGCTGGAGGACAAACTGACCACAATTTTCACTCTGCTACTGTCTTTACTTACTCTGCTCAACCTGTTTTGTATTTGTAATTATTTTTTCTATCCTTAACATGTGCTTTTTTGTCTTTCAGATACACCTGGACCTATACCTGGACCTACCATTCTGTGTTCGTCTGTCTCTCCTTCCTGTCCTCTCAAACCAGCCGGTCAAAGCAGATGGCCACTTGTCCTGAGCCTGGTTCTGCTGGAGGTTTCTTCCTTTAAAAAGGGAGTTTTTTCTTTCCACTGTTGCCACTGTGCTTGCTCAGGATGGGAGACTGCAACAAAGCCAAGATTCAACTTGTCTGCTGGATTCCTTAGATAGAGAACTTTACTAATTGGCTTTTATGTGTGAATGTTTCTGTAAAGTGCCCTGAGACAACTTTGTTGGGATTTGGTGCTATATAAATAAACTGAATTGAATTGAATTATTGCTACTTGTCCCAACTTTCTGGATTTGTTGACACTGTGAAATTTTGAATCAACATATTTTTCCTTTAAAATGTTACATTTACTTAGATTAAACTTTTGATTTGTAGTCTATGTTATATTACAAATAAAATATTGACATTTGCCATCTTCACATCATTGCATTCAGTTTTTATTCACAATTTGTTTAGTGTCCCAACTTTTTTGGAATCCGGTTTGTCAATTCATTCACATTAATGGCAAAAACGAGAATTTGGCATGCTTACAAACTCATAAAACATTACTTCATTCTATATCAGCTCAATTTACTGGGAGTTCACCAAGTTCTTCTCGTTCATTTGAAGCAAACTATTCAAACTAGATCACATAATAAACAATTCTCAAACATTTTTATTAGGAACAAGATATTTGAATTCTCAGTCACAAACAAAAGTAATTTTAACAAAATGTAAACATTCAGTAGTAAATTATAAGCAATATAATACAATTATTGGTTAAACGTGATTATGTGTTGAAATAAAATGACATCTCAGCTGGTCCTTCTAAACTGCAGAAATTTTGCATCAGTTTTAACAGCCGAATGCGTTCTTGGAGCAAATGAAGCGATAAGCACTACTACACGGGGTGTTGCGCCAACCACCTGAGATGAAAATAAGAGAAGAGAAAAAAAAAATCATAAAATGACAACAGTGGTCATGTTTCTTTACTTTGGACTTAACTTTGCTGAACTTTAAAAGCACAGTTTCGATGACCAGCTACAACATTATGACCACTGGGCTATTAGTCCTCCAAATAAATTTTGACCCATCAGGTATGCACTTAAACCCCCCAGGATTTATTTGGGTTTCTGGTGGTGTATGGTCAAGATAAACTTTGGGCCCTGGGGAGTTCTGGGTTTTCTGTCTGTAGCTATAGCTTCATAATGTTATGGCTGATCAGTGTATGAAGACATCATAAATGATTAGGAATGACACCAACTCAGCCTGGTGTATAGTGATATTACTTACAGGCAGAGTGTAAGTAGAGACAGGAGTTGCTGCTGGTAGATGACTGGGAGTACCAGTTGGTGTAGTAAAAGCCCTCACGGTCGATCCACATCCACTGACCCTGAATACAAAAAATGTGTGTGAGTCTCTAGTTTTTTTTTCCCTGAGAAACACAATGTATAATTTCTGATGTTAGATCGGACTCTGGTGTGATCTGGTTTGAAGAATGGACCAGTTTTCTAATCCCACCTGCAGGTTGAAGCCTCCCAGCCATGCAATGCTCTGACCAGCCGTTTGAGTCATCTGCTGGAGGAAACTGTACTCTCTTGGGCTTGTGGCTGAAGCCAGATGACCACCCAGACCGTTGCAATGCTCCTATTGGACAAATAAAGCATGAAGTCACGTACGTCAGACCATCCAGCATACATTTAAAACAGTAAAATATTAAAAAATGATGTAACAATTACTTTGTACATATAAATTACTAAAATATCATGGAAAAAAATTACACAATACAGAAACTTAAGTGACAAGCTTGCATCTGTTTTAAATTATAGTAATATAGACATGCAAACCATACTTTACCAAAAATGAATTGTTTAAACTTAAAATCACATCAAATTACCTTTATGCCTAATTAGAATAAAATAAATTTACAAATAAACTATCATTCCTTGAAAGACTTCACATTGTCTGCTGCTGTGCACACTAATATTTTAAACTAAAACCTTTTGTGTTAGCCTTACTGGTATGTGTTGGTTCTGACTTGAGCTACCATCACACTAAATGTTTATCTCAATATCTGTAAATTTAATTGAGATGAAGCCATTGTTGTGTTTGTTAGGTTTAATTATGTGGTCATCTTGAATCGGTTGAAGATGTACTTAAACTCATTACTTTCCAATAGTTTCATTAAAGACTGGTCCACTGATATTTTGCTAACAGACAAACAAACGAACACACAGTCACAGGCAGTTACATTATTGCCTGCTTTTCATGGCATTTCAATTCTGCTTCAGTTCAGTTCATTTATATTGCACCAAGTCACATCAGAAGTTGTTTCAGGGCACTGCACAAAAACATTCACATATATTATAAACGCCAATTAGTAAAAGTTTATCTCAGGAAACCAGAGGATTGCATTGAATCTTTACTTCTTCACAGTCTCCCATCCAGAGCAAAGGCAACAGTGGAAAAGAAAAACTTAATTGTAAAATGTAACTTGGACCAGCTGGGCTTTGAGTGGACAGGAAGCAGAAACAAACAAACATAGAGTGGCAGCAGGTTATAAAACTACCTTGTGTAGTTTGTAAAGTATTCCTGGAGGATAAAAATCCTGTTGATGTTTGCTTGTTACAAAAGTTTAAAACACCTAAGAAGTTTCATTTATGGACTGTGAATAATCAAGTGTGTAGTAACAACAGTTTGATTTCCAACGTCACTTCACCATCAAGCGTGGAATTACCTCAGCTTTGTACCAAGACATGGGATTGTTGACGAACGTAAAGCAGC